ACACACACACACAAAAAAAAAAGTACGAAAGAGACAAAGAAAATAAGGAAGCGAATTAATAGATTGAGCTTAGCAATTTAAAGCTGAAAGAATAAACAGTGGTCTTCTTGGAATGAAATCTCAAAATGCTTTAGAAAACGAGCTTCCATATGCATTAACAAGGCATTTAACAATATATATTTATAACTGGGAATTGCCGTCTGACTAGCAACAACAATGAAGCCTCGAAACTTGAGGCCTCTTTCATGTGAAATGAAAATGTGAGTGGTCTGAAAAGCAGAAGAAACCAAACAACAAATTGCAAGTGATTGTTGTTACCAGAAGTGAAAAATCAATGTGTTTTATTTGAAGTCGAGAAAAACACAAATATGCAAATGGTATCCTCAGAATGCTCAACAACTATGGTATAAATCTCCGTCAGAAGAGGCTTTATCTAACACATTTCAAGGAATACAAATTGGAAACTGCTCTAAAACACTGACCATTTGAGTGCCTGCAGCCAAATGTCGCCAGGGACCAAAGCATAGTCCCGACCAGATACCCCAACTTCACCATTCTCCTGACTCTGTGATAAAGATTCCTCCTCTCTCCTCAAGTTAAATGAGACGTCTGGGCTAAATATGTTGTTAATGATTTTCATTGGCCCTCCATAAGATGGAGCTAGTGCCGCTGCGTACAAAGTCGCTGACTTCCCATCTGCTGGTGATGACTCCTGTGCTTCCTTCCACCACCTAGAACACAAACACGCTTTCTTATATAGTACTCTAAACATATACATGCATGTGGCACCTGTAATATATGTGTGTGCAACACTTTAACCCTCTACTCGGGAAAACACAGACAAAAAACTGCAAAGGGTAACTTTTAACTTCTTTCAATTAACACTTCCAGGCTATTACTCCGTCCTTCCCGCTCAAACATTCTCTCTCTTCTTAACAACCACTAGCAAGTGGCAAGCGTCATTTGTGTCATATTTACCACTCTCCCCTACCACCGCACTAGCCCGCAGAGCACTTCTCCACATATATGCACTTTTTTATAATAATAGCGAGAAACAATATTTGAACTGACAACATAATGCATAATCAATTGATATTTTATCGAGATGGAACACTTTTTTAAACAAAAAAATTGATAACTGTGGTGTCCGGACCAGTTTGTGTGCACCTCTATTAAGGTTGACAAATTGTAGATGGAATAATTTGTCAGCTTCTTCTAAGGTTGACTAAGTTATTAAACAGGTCCTGATAACCACCGCTTCAGATCTTGTCGGCACTTTGCTATACTACCTCTCCATTATTAACAACTGATAGCTAGGTGTCTTTTACTTTTATTTAGTTGGCAAAAACTGTCTATTGTAACTTACCCTATCAACTTTCTGGACTTTATCAGCTCCTTAGCAATCTAGGCCTATGTTTGAAGCTGATACTCTCTGGCCTAGTCTTTCATAATACTTGCATCTTCTTGATGACATTGGTGAAACTATTTACTTCATCAAAAAAAAACACAACTGAAAATCCAAGGCCGATACTTTCTTATGCTTAAGCTCACAAAACAAAATATACAACCCACAACATGATTTGATCCACCGGTTAACAGATAACAAAAACCAACAACATTGATTAAAAACCAACACTAGTTCAATGCACAAAAGCTAATACAATTACCAATCCAAATGGCAACTAATAAAAAAAATAAACAACTCACAACACGATTTGATCCAGATAATAAGACTTGATTAAAAAAACTACAACATTCCAATGTAGGGAAGCTAATACAATTACCAATCTAAATGACAAGTAATACAAATAAAAATATAAGTAATTTAAACCCAAAAAAACTAGAACTTGTTTCAACTTTCTCGTTATCTCATGGGTTCAGATTCGGGTTTAGCTAAATTGGATCAAACCAAATCATAAAATCAATTCGGGACAGCAAAATCCGAGAATTCAATTCTTTATTTTTATTTATTTTTACTTTTATGTTGATATACATAAATAAACAGTTGCATGAGGAATGGGTCAAAACGGGGAAGGGAGATTTTACCTGTAAGGAACTAAATAAACACGTTGGTCATCGTTTACAGGAGATTCGGGCTGCTGTTGAGGAGAATCCGAGGAATCCTCCGATGGGTTATCCATTTGGACTTGTAGAGAGAGAAAAAAGGTTTTAGAGAGAGAGAGAGAAAGAAACGGAGTTTTCAGAAATGGCGGAAGAGATTTGCAGCAGAAAAAATGCACCTCACTTTTTTTGGTGGAAATATAGAGGAATGAGGGAATGGCGGAATTTGCAGAGAAACAAATGGAGCTTGGATTCAGGGAAAGAGAATATTGATGAAAATATACAGTAAGTAATTAAATGCTTATATATTTTCTATTTCTTACTGTTATTGAATTTAAATCTAATATGGATTTGTTAAATTAGTTTTCTTGAATAATACAGTAAGTAATTAAATGCTTATGTATTTTCTACTTCTTAGTGTTATTAATTATATTACTATACTTAAATCTAATATGGATTTGTTAAGTTAATTTTCTTGAATCTATATCTATATATATATTAAGCAAGAAAGTTACCATATATAATTGACATTATGGTTAAGCCAAGTAGCAAGCTAATAAATGTCAATAGTATATGGTAATTTTATTCTATATTTGGTTATTTTAGTTAAATACAAATATAATATAATATAATATAATATAATATAATATATATACACATACACGGAATTTGAATTAAAAGATAATTTTGAATTTATAGATAAAGTTCTAAAATTCGAATTTAAATTAAAATAAAATTTATCTTTTTTATCATGTTATCATACTTAATTCGGTTAATGATCATATGCAATCATGTTAGAAACTTTTTTTATTTTTTATAATTATTTAAATACTATTTCGCCTCTAGCCAAAAAAAAATACTCCATATAACTATAAAACTCTTTCACATTTAAAATCCTATAAATATAGTTCTTTGAAACA